GTACTTCATATGTGCAGGGTTGTACCTAGGCCAAATTTAGTGCTGGGTAATATTTTGGCGAAGTGCAGTGAGAGTTCTTGAGTGTCCCGGCTAGGGTTTGAGGGGCCTGTTCAAGGGCCCCTGGTGGACTCCAGGGGCAACACACCAGTGGGGTTCGAAGGGGTGTAGCCCGAGGGGGCATAGCCCCCCTAAAGCTCCAGGATTCTGGGGTTTTCAGGGGGGAATCTGGTTTTTATGGCATGTTATAAAGTGTAATTTGTGTTTGTAAAATGTGAAATTATCACTAAATAAAGATGAACACAGGATAAAACAATTGTCTCATAGTATTTTTGTAATAATATACAGTAAAGATAGGAATATCCATACATAAGAAGTTTTAGATTTTTGAGAAATGTTACCAACTCAGGGAATGAAATATGTGCCGGGCGGTCAGGCTCAAAATTACCCTAAGTGCTAGGCAGAAATTATGAGAGCTGGGCTGCCCTGCCCGCTGTTGCCTGGTGTAGCTACAACCCTGACTGTGTGCTGGCCGTAGGATGAAAATGAAAACTTGAAATGTCAGAATTCCAGATCAATGAACCAAGATGTGATAAACTTGTGCTTAGTTGCTTAAGTACGCACAAATTTTCCAAAAAAATTTTTACTGTCAAAAATTAGGGAACCATTCACACATTATGCCTTCCTCCCTGGGTCAGCCTCAATGGGGTCAGGGAACCATTCACACATTATGCCTTCCTAGCTTGGTCAGCATCAATGGGGTCAGGTAACCATTCACACATTATGCCTTCCTACCTGGGTCAGCATCGATGGGGTCAGGTTGCCAATCCTGGTGGTCTTCATCTTCTTGTTCACTGCAGTAACTTTCATCCATAGTGACTGGTTCTGCTTTAATCAGTTCCTCAGCTAGCTCTTTGTTGCTATCATCTGTCAGGCTGGAAACAATGCAACGTACAGTGTCTTCCCGTGTCCTGGACAAAAACAGTAGTATATAATCTAGTGTGTGAATTAAACAAACAGAAATAATCTTTAAAAAACGCTTCCCTTACATGTATCATCAATGACATGGAGAAAGTCATGCTAAGCCCTGTCCACCTTTGACGCTATGCCACTAGCACACACTTAAAGATTCCACAAATTTGTTAGATTACCTCTGTGCCTATCATTTGCTCACAAACAGGCACATCCATACATGTACACGTCCTGACACTAGTTGTTGGGATTGCACAAGCTGAACGATGGTTACATGCATTATGGGACAATATTTGATATTGGGACAAGTTTTTGTTCCTACAGATACAATGTACATGTCACGGCCTTTCAATACAATTCTCTCCCTTTCTCATGCATGAGCCTGTAGACTTAAATATACACAGCCATAAAGGTGACAATTTGTGTTTATTGACAATCATGTTGTGCATGCACTGTGTTGACTCTTTTGTGTTTTGTCTTCAGTTGTCAAGTTCAACTAACGCTGATTAAGAGTAGAGCTATAAGAGCTTAGATGAGCAGAAATGGCACACACAGTGGAACTGATGTAAAGGATAATGCCATAGTGGCTAAGCTTGTACAGTCACCATGACCTCAATATGCTAATGACACAGTTGTATACAGAATCATCAACACTAATAAGGCCAGTGTAATTTTACAGGAAGATTTCAACTTGATTAGTGAATGGTGTAAAGATAATCGCATGCAACTGAATTTGTCTAAGTGCAAAGTAATGCATATAACCCGCTCAAAGAAGCAGTCTCTTACACCTTACTATCTAACAGGTGCTGATGAACCCTTGAAGGTTTCCCACTCTTATAAATACCTTGGAGTTATACATTCTCATGACTTAACTTGGAACAAACATGTAGATATGGTTAGAATCAAATGCTCTGAAATTTCTGGTTCATTCGCCGCACTGTTAAAACCCGTAACAAAAGTGTACTTCTTAAATTATTCTCTTCTCTTTGTAGGCCTGTTTTAGAATATGCATCTCTGGTTTGGCTCCCTCATCTTAAGAATCAAATCCAGTCCTTTGAGACAGGACAGTGCCGATTTACAAAATCATGCTTTCCGTATAATATTGCACACTCCCTCTCCTATGAACAACGTTTGCAGGAACTTAATCTCCCACCCATCTACAACAGGTTAATCTACTTGAGCATGGCTATGGTTGTGAAATGCCTCCAAAGACACATGGATGTCCCTTCTACCCTTCATCCCCAGCCAAATGCAAGGAAAACTGATATCTTGCTCTTCAGTCACCAGTCCAGTCGGACCAACTGCCTTAAATATTCTCTGTTTGTTTCTTTCCGCAGGTTGTTCGACACTCTTCCTTCTAGCCTCCAGAATTGTGTCTTCTACCCTCTCCAAATGAATTTTTCCACTCTTTACGTGACCAATTGTTTAACCTAGAACCCATCTCTCAGGCTTTGTAATCATGTATTTATCCCCTTGTTCATTTGTTTGTTTTTAGTATAATGAAGTTTTGACAGAATTTATTTCTTTTGGGCGATCCTTTGGGAGCTGATTGGAATTCATGTTAGTCATTGTAACTGTTTCTTACTTTGTTTACTAAGAAGTTATTGTCCTTGTAACCTGTTTTTCCCAAGAAATGAATTAAATGTAATTGTAAATCAATGACTCACGGCTGGTCAAGCCATAATCATACACATGTTCGATTGCTTAGAGCTATATATCTAGTTCAACAACAGTAGCAGTGATGCAGATTGTCAATTTCTTGTCATTAAAAGCAACCCAATCCTGATGATTCAAGATTTACATGATCCTTTCAGGAAGACAATTCTAGAATTACAGGCAATTGTGCATAGACTATTTCTCCCAAATGGAAAACATCTTGTGTTCTGCACTGTGTATTGAATGTACATGTATTTCTCATGTTGACAATTAGAACTCTCAATTTTTTAATTACATTCCTTACATTGTGAAGTGAAAAGCAAATTAACAACATATTTTGGCACATTGGCATTTATAATTGGAGCCTATGTGAATCCTCCAAAACAATATTCTGCCCGTAGCCTTGAACATTTATGAACATTTACATTGTACCTACCGCAAATATTTTCGGACAGGTTGGCAAACTAGCTCAAGTATGATACCTGACGGATCTAACACTCTGAGAGCACGGATAGATGAAATGTACTGAGTCAGGATATCATCGGTGTTCACTCCTTGAAAGAAAATCAAACAAACTGTAGTATATCGTCCGATTTCTATGAAGTCCGGTTGTATCAAAGGTAGTAAAGTGCTAGTCATTCAAAGTGGTAGGGAGTCTGTTAAAATGGGGATAAATATATAGTTTCAAGCATTTCAACCTTTCATTACAAGAATTACGAAGTGCAGGTGAAATGGTTCTTTTTTGAGACCCTTCAACTTTACAATTGTGAACAAGTTTTGCAACCTCTGGCAGATGGGTTTGGGTCATCTGGAAGAGAATACGCTTGTAAAGAGAACCCAGTTGAACTTCTGCAAATTCAATCACAATGTCAACATATACAAGTAAAGTGTCACTGATAAGCTTTTCGTCCTTTGCATTTACTGTATGTACAATGCCAGCAGTGAACTTTTACACATATGCAGGTGCTGGAACAGCTTTCATTTTACACCCATTTTTGATGGCAGACGGTTTGTCAGGGAACTTCCTGGTGAGATGGTGAGACAAAACTAAACACACTTTTCTTTAAATTTGGAATGGATTCCTGGTATGGGTACTGGGATACTCATGTTTATATTCAATGAGGTATCTTGTTACCATGCCAACTACATACATGTACATGTGTAATGCACACCTGAACAATTAACGCAGGATGATGAATGACGACTTCCAGACTGGATTAAATGCTTTTTGTCACTGTTCAGTTGAATATTAAAGTTGTTACTTGACTTGAGGCTGGCTGACTTGTGAATGGCCTGAGACATAAAATTTGTGTCAGTGCATTAATGAAACCATGTGGGTTTGTGCAAGGAAATTTCTCACTGGCTCTTAATGTTCCTTGACAAAAAAGTATGGTACATGAATATTGTATTCTTCACCCTGCAATCTCAATGTGATGCTGTTGTTACGGAGTACTACCTGGGTGAAGTAAGCGTGTCTCAAATGAGGAACGCAGTGACTGAACCAGGTGCCTCCTCAAGTCTGTCTTCTCCAAGCACTTCTGCAGGTCTTCCAAAGCACACAGAGAGTCAGGGAACTCCACAATGATGTTAAAGAGTTCACTGATGCGAAGGTTGGCGTAGGTTTGGTACAGGAGATACTGCAGTCTGTCTTTCCACTGACTCAGTGTTTGCTGCGTGCTGCTGCCGATTGTGCGTTGTGATTCCTCTCCACAGAAAACGAGATTCAACCATCTCACAACTTTGTTGGACAACCACTACATGTGCGTGTGTAAATCAACATAGAAAACTTATTTTTGTATATGTAGTAGTTATTTATCTCAACAATCATGCACCTGAGGTAAATGTGTGGTGCATCTACATCTACATACATGATCTAAAGGTTTCAGGGAGTAACGACAAACTTTATGAAGCCCTTGCCGTGAGTTTGCAGGCACCATTGTTGCCTCCTGCCTGGTCTTGTGTCTGGTCTTGTGATGGCCTCGACTACAACACTGCCAGGCACATTGACACTTCCGATATTTTAAAAAGAAACTTTATGGATCCAATACGGCCCGTCACTGTACATGAACACAGTGGCATATTCTTGAACTTGTAGAAAAGCCACACCAAGCCCATGTACAATATGACAATACTGGATGGGTTCTACCTTCTTTAATTGGGCAAAATAGTCCAATTGGTATACTGTACAAATAATGGATGTTTACGAGTGCAATGGTAAAAATAATTTTATGATAGATGAAATGTTCTATTCCATGAGGCAAAGCTGAGTGAAATGGAACATTTCATCCGTCACATATGAAATTATTCTTAGCACTGCACAAATGTAAAATAGTCCTAATTTGTCTTATACAAAACATGCACAGATCCTCTTCTGTTAGGAGGAAATATAATCAGTCCCCACATATTAAATTAATGTCCCTCATTTTGCAAACAGATTTGTATCTGAAGCCCACCCAGTGGTAGTTTTGTGTAATGTTACAATGTAAATTGGTTCCTATTCCTACTTTATTTTCCTCTTTCTTACTGTGAATGAAATATATGAAATTGGGCCAAGCACTAGTCAAGTGCATTGGAGTTTTAGTCAATGGGTGCTGTTGCATAGAACAAACAATTCACAGGGATTTATGCAGGTACAGGCATGGTATAAAATCTGACGAATCAGGGACAGGATTAAACTATTGATCAATAGGCCTTTGAATTTCTGAAACAGAGTGAATTCAACAGTTTGTGGAATTAAAACCCAAATAGAATGTACAACGTGAACAACACGTGGCATTTCCTTGACTGTTGCAGTGACTATGCTACTTACCCTTTCTAATTTGACAATGTAAGAAGTTTCAAACTCTCCTCTGCATTTGTTTTCCACATGATGTTTGATCTTGGCATGGATAAGGGAGGTGATAGCCTCTGCACACACCCTTTCCAGTAGGCCCAAGGAGTGTCTGTAGATCGTACATTGAAAAACAAAAAGTAGTGCACAGTTGTAGCATAATGAAATGTACACATAGGAACCATTTTGTTTAATAATCGACCATTATTCATGATACGGTATTTTACATCATTTGACACACCATACCAAGTACATACACATGTGGTGTGATATTGTATCCAACAACTGTTGTATGTATCTCTTGCATGTAACACTATCTCAAAGTGTTTAGTTTCAACATAAAAAGAAATGCTATATGAATTGGTCATACATGTATATTTAGCAGATAATAACGTACATGCAAGTCCAGCTGATCCTTAAAGTACAATCTTAATACTGATTTGCCATACATTTCAGTACATGTATTTGTTGTTTGAGTCAAGTGAATTACAAGTCCTTTTACAAATTCAGTTACAAGTCCTTCGCACATGTAAGACCACCCCTACATGTACGTGTAGGTGCAATCAGCTTGTTGTCTTATAAACCTCCATGTCTCAGTTAACCTTATTTTCAACTTTTGTTTCACCATTTCAAAGTGTGTTTTACTGCCGTTCTGTTTTTATGCTAAAAGTATTTCCAAATCTGAGCAAAACTGTGATGTCATCCCAGGAAGAAAGCTTCAATGTTTATTTGTTTGAGCACAAAAAGTGTGGCATTTTGTAGGCTTTGCTGGCCTAAATTTTCACTTCTTTGCTGAATCATTGTTGTTTACATGCATAACAATAAGCAAGCATCAATTCGTCTCTCAGAAATGTTTTCAGTTGGTAAATTCTGGGTTAACAATTTGAATAGAAAACTTATGCACTGAACTAGGTCTTCCATGGATGACATCACAGCAACAGCGCCCTCTGTTGTCTCGGTAAGCAAAAAAGCAAATGTACATGTAATTAAAAGTGTTTAAGAAGTGCACTTTTCAATACATGTTCAATCCACATAAAACCGAAAAGGAGTGTAACAGGGATTTTTTTGCTTGGAAAGAAATTCCAGACAAGGTCGACAGCATTATAAAATAGGGAGTTTATTCCTGTGGTCAGACTCTAGACAGGGTCAGCGGCACGAGAAAAGCCGTTTCCTTGGCTTTAGCCAAATATAAGGGTTGGTTGGATATGAGTACCATAAAATTAACCAAACACTCTTTGAAATTTACTTACAACTTTGAATTGATTTGATGAAAACACCGAAGTACACCTGAGCAACTGCACTCCTTACGCAGGTTATGGCATCCCATACATGTGATGTCATCATCTGCTTCCTCTATTGTTTCCTGTTCCTCCTCATAGTCAGCATCATCTTCACTGCTCATGCTAATGTCACCAACCACTTTCTTCTCACCATGAAACGCTTGAAATGCTTGGCTGTAGAAGTCATGCACCAGGCCTTGGAAACATTTGGGAGTGTGGTCAAAAAGTATGGCTTTCAATACTGTCTGGATTCTTTCCACAAGTTCAGTGCATTTCACGTATGTATAATTTACACGTTTGGTCAGATGTGTCTCTACGGCTAACTCACTGAGTGTTCTTGCACTGTTCATGAATGGAGCCATGCTTGTGTACAACATGTTAATGGCAGTAACAAGAGGGCTATCCTCAGTCAGAGATAATTTGCCAGGGGGGCTGTGATGTAGAGAGAAGTGTGACCAGAACTGGGGGATTACTTCCTTTTGTAGTGTTTGCTGTAGTGTTTCCATGAACCATTCTTCCAGGAGGTTCGCCATGCCTTGCTCAGTGAGCATACCATAGGCAATCCTGATGTCATCCTTCACGTCTGTATCTCGCATGCCTTGTGCAGTGTTAGTGACAGCATCAGGTGTTGAGGCCTTCATCATTTTATCACATGGGAAACCAAACAAAAACATAAAGAGATGTCATACATGTGACACTTAATGTTTGATTAGACACTAACCCAAACATACCACTATATGTACACAGGTTATCTGGTGACAATCCCAGGTATTCATCAGCTATTTCAAACAGCAAGATGGAGATTTCAGCAGGGGAAAAGGTCTTGACAGTGTACTCAGCATGTACAGCAAGAATGCTAACTTCTTTCACACAGCACACTGCATTGTGTGAGCTCTGTCTTGCACATGGGTCAAGTGTAAATCATTCTTTCATTCTTTCAGGTGTATGGGAATGCAGATATTTCAACTATCAAAATGAAATTTGACATAAAAATCAAAGTATCACTGTTATTTCCAGACTGTGTTATCTCCCCTTACTTTAACAACCAGCATCAGTTACTCTTTCCCCGAAAGGCAATAATGCCGTATGTACTTGCATTGGAGAGAGGGGATGTTGTATGATCCACAAGACCAAGTTCAAAGTCCTACAGGTTAAAAAACATTGATTTAACATGAAGAGCAGTGACAAGTTTGGATTAATTATTTTACCTGTGAAAAGAAACCAATATCAACAATTTGGGGTTTGTGCACAGAGTGTCAAGCAGTGTATTCAAGTCCATTGCAAATCCCTGTGAGTCTATCACAAGTCCATCACAAGTCATTCAGTCTTAAGCCAATTAACGAGCTATTCAAATGAGGCAATCTTTTGTCATTGTGCAACCTGCTACTTAGCTTTGTGAAGGGAATTGTGACTGGACTTGTGATGGACTCGAATGCAACACGGGTGTCAAGTGATGGTACAGACACTGCATGCTTGGCACATTGTGACCGTGTGTCAAGGTATACAGTTTGCACTGCTGCATGAAGAAAGCAGCAACTCCGAGCCTGGCTGACAAGATCGTTTCCGATTTAAATGGGAACTTTTTTCTTTATCCTACATGTGAGTAAACCAAAAGCCTTATCACTACCATTGCAAACTTTGACTCCCACTGAATGTGGGCACATAGACAGTTTCAGGACTTTGTGGTGGGGGAGGGGTACCCCCAGACCTGTGCGGTCTGACGTCCGTCCTGCTCCCTTGAACGGGAGCGGGGCAGATGTCGGACCCCACAGTTCTGATTTTGATTCGGGTATAACAATGTATGTACGAGCTATTTTGGCATCATTAGGATTAGCACCCTTTTCCTATAATAAGGAAACAAAGTCTACCTTTCAAAACAACTCTTAAAGTTGGCGGTGATGTCCTCTTTCATATCAGACAGAAAAAAGGTCTTTGCTTTCTGAGGGATATTATGAGGTAAAATGGCAGTGTAAATGATGCGACAAAGAGGTGTGAACAAAGATGAATCAGTCCGGTTCCTTGAGCTGGAACCATAAAAGTTTCTTTTATGAAATTCAGTATATCCACAATGGCTGGGTCGGGTAACGAGACGAGAAACAAAATGGCGCGATGCGGTCATCTTTTGCCGAACTCAGGTAAAAAATTCTGGTTTTCTTGCCTAAATATTGTCAAAATTTACCTAAACTAGAGCCACAAGGATTAAGGAATGGATCCTCAAGGTACACACATGTATGAATGTTAGTTTGAAAAGTGAACTTCGTATAGAGTGAAATCGTACGATAAAGAAGAGCCTACTGTATCCAACATAGTTATTAAAATACATTGAAATTCGTTGTGGTTTTGCGAGCGTTAAAAACTTGATAATCAAAATATATGTACAGAACAATAATAAATGACACTACAAAAATTCCCACCAGAATTAGGCCTACAACAACAGGCCTTCGACAGCATATCACGTATGATGGGTAGTTGGACCATGTTGGACTCAACTAAAAACTTTCACCCGCCCATGTTCAAATGTTAAAAAAGGCGATTTAGGGTCCAAGTTACTCGGCCTTGGCCTAGCAGGGCCTAATGACAGTTCAGCTAGCCCAGGTGGACTCCCTGACCGTAGGGCTTCTACGTAATGAAATGAGGACGACGTCCAACCTGGGCTGACACTACAGTTCAGCATCATGTTTGTCAACTCCTTTACTGTTTCTGTCTCCATGCCTAGACTTGGGCCACTGCTCATTGGGTCCTTATTTCCTTAAATACAAACCTCTCCATGCTTTCGTAGATCAACGTAATTGCTAGCAAGTAATCTGGTGGTAACTGTCTGCCAAGCTCCGCTCGCTAAATCTAAATTGTGCGCCATATTTCTGGCTGGATTTGCATGCAGCATGTCTGTGATATACATGTACATGTACATGTACATGTACATGCATGTATGTATGCAAGGTGCCGGTTTTACCTCATCCCCATAGTATCAAGCATGAGTTCTCACGGTACTAGGCCAACCTGGAAATAAAGTGACTACTGGAGACGAGGTCGATGTACGTTGCTTGCATGCCGCGTGCATTGATATGAATTTTACCCAACCTGACAACTGGCCTGGGGTGCAAACTTCATCAAAGTTCAGGGTCAGTACCATGCACGCCGACATCACTGAAGTTTCTCAAACCAAAATTAAATGATTGTCTTGGCCCTAGTCTTTCCATTTCTTTTTTTTGGTGGGTTAGCCAATTACATTTTTAATTATTCATGCAAGACAAACTAATCCTCGAAAAGTGATATTCCAAGGCTGGATCACTGCATTTTTTTCTGGCTTCAAAGTTCTCTCAACCATGTTTCAACTCTCTCGGACACAGTGGACATTTTCCATCCGTAATTTTATCAACTCTCTCCTTGGATGTAAGTCCCTCAACCAAGGGAATTGATCCCGGCCCATGTTTACACACAATCCCTCCATTTACAGTTAAACAATCTCATTAAAACAAACAAACAACTAGAGAGTGGGTCATTCTATAAATTAGGGGTCTAATTTTTTTCGACGGTCCCACACATCTGACATATGATTTTGTAAGTTCAGAACACATTTTCCAATTTCCAAAGATAAATTATGAATTAACTTCATGCAAATTACTTACCAAAAATAGAAACAAAAACAGTTTCAAATCAATTTCAGTGATATTTCCCTGTCAAATGACACAAGTCAGGTGTAACAGGGGTCTTACGGCCATCTTTGGTTTTGCCCAGAATTAAAATGTTATTCGCAATTACTTCGAAAAGTCCGGGCAAAACTTTCTGAAAGGCAAAAAACGTTGGAGAAATTCATTGCAATATTTAATTTTTAAAGTTGGATGGGGCGGCTGAGACCGAAAAAGACCTGTTTCTTTTTCAGTAGTGGCTGAGTAAACCTGGAAGAGTTGACATTAGCGTTTGTTCTCTATTATATAGGCCTAAGCGTCATAGGCCTATATATAAGCGAGGATGACCAAAATATTGTATATTGAATTTTTACCAACAGGAACTAATGGGGGTAAAACAGTCAATAAATCGGTTAAAATAAACTAGGCATCTTTGCAAATGTATTGTAGCCAATAATCCAGTTTGCCCAACATTACTTGGGTACCGGTAGTGTTTCATGATCATTATTGATGCATATTACAATGATGTTTGGCAACTTACTGGTCAAAAATTACCCAGTTTGAGAGTGTTAATTGCGACATCCAAATATGTCAAGGTTGTCAAGGTGTTGAGCGTATAATAGACACGAAATATTTCTCAAGACTGTACTTCATGTATAAATATCGACAGTAGATATTAAATGATTTCAAACGCCTAGTTTTATTTTAAAATTAAGATCATTTTTGAAACAACTTTTTGATGCTATATTTCAGATTAATTTTGCCCAAGTTGTTAGCCTATATTGACATAAGGGAAACTTCGTACGTATAGTCGGAGGGGTGCAGAGGAGGGGTCCAAACAACCAGCTTTAGAGTGGCATTAAGGCTTGGGCTTGTTTCATATGGATCTGAATCTCGATGAGTGATCCCAAAGCTGTGCTCTCGCTATCCATTAGGTGAGTTCCGGTGTCAGTGGACCAGCGTTGGGTCACTAACAGCGATCCGGATCCGAGTGACACTAACCAGTGTTTGTAATGAATCCTTAGCAGAGTGGAAATGTCACTCTTTTGGAATGACAGAGGACTCACTTCTTTGACAGTGAGTTTGTTCACCCTTTCCTTTAGAGAGTTTTAAATTCATCCATGCTTACTTTGATGAGCAAAGCTAAGATGACAAACATCCGCTAAACTTAAGTAATTTTGTCTAAGCACATGCCACCAGCAGCGTTGCATTTAAACCCCTTTTGAGAGAGAGGGCACAACATTTGCCTTGTCTGATCTCTGTTTAGAGATAGGTATATTATTTGAACATGTTTTTAGTTGTTAACTTCCAATTTATGATTTTTTTTATCTTGTTATGCCTATCTTAAGACGTTTTTGATCAAGTGTTGGCCAGAAAAGCCTCAAAATTCGTATTATGTCATATAATTCTTAGCAAATCTAAAGTGATCAATTTTGTTTGTATCTATTCACTTTATGTCATGTTTTGTAGTAAATGTTTTCTTAATGTGCCATCCTGGCAGGCTGTCACAGTATCTGGTCAGTAGATCCAGAAACTCTTGATTTCAACTTGACAGGCAGTAATGCCCTGTTTTAGGTCATTGGAAGCAGTCCTTGTTATGCCGTTGGGTGCATGGTTAAGCCTTAAAGTAAGCAGGTGAAAAACATTCAGTTAAGAATAAGATAGAGAAAGATAAGGACGCCTTCTCCAGATGTTTATTTTCCCGCTGCTTGGGAATAATAACCTTAATTAACACTTTAAAGTCGTGAAATACTAGAGTAGAACGAAGCACCAACGTTACTTGAACTTTGGTGTTCGAGCATTCTGAATAAAACCAAGAATTGAGTTAAAAGCTCGCCCCTGACAGCAAAAACTGGTTTCAAGTCTTGCCTCAAGACACTTTCCTACCGGTACAACAAGAATTGTTGCTTGGATTGAAGGTTGGTATAAAGTGTGCCACGCTTGGGCTCCGTTCTTGCAGTCGGAGTCACAATTTGTTTTGGTGACATGGCCTCGAACTTAAACCTTTGTCTTCAGTTCGACAGCTGCCCGTTTTGGTCAATAATTTTTTGGAGTTTTGGAGACCAAAAACAAAATGGAAACAAACGATTGTCCCATGTGCAGTTTTGACTTTACTAACAAAAGAAATCGTCCCCCAAACGGGGAGAAGGCCTACCATGACAAAATTAACGAAATACGACGTGAAAACATCAGATAACACCATCTATAACGTTGACGCCTATACGCTGTCAACAAACATCTCAAATAAAATCTAATTTTTACAGCGTATTGCTCAACAACTGACTATACGTTGTGATAAAACTGCCAGCAAACTGGGTACTTCGTTGAGAAAACTGTATTTTTCCTATATCTCTATAGTGAACTATAGAGTTCTTTTTTAAAAGAATTATTTTTTTGCTATACAATCGATGCATTATTCGACTAACTGCAGAACTAACTTGATCCAACTGTAACTAACTTGATCGGAAAACTGACTGACTTGGTGTGAAAAAGCCCGAGAAATTGTTTGTGAGGCAGGCAGTATGTTAGAAACAGATTGTACAATTGCAATGCAAGCACTTGAGGAGAATCTAAATCTTGCATCTTGATTTCATTCTCCGATGTAATAAATGCGAATAGGTAATCCGGTTAACTTCTGCACTAAGAAACTTTGTTTGTCAAATGACAGTAGGACTACAAATATGCATGTTGGTTTTCTTTATTTTAAATGCAGAAAAAATATATACAAATACGCATGCACTGATAAAACACCCTGTATGGTATATTGTGTGTATTATGTGTATGTGATTGTACATGAAAAGACAATGAATAATGCATTAAGAACTAGCAATCATGATTAATCCTGGGAATAAAAATTCTTAAAGGTAATTAATAAGTGAAAATTAATGGGTTGTAATCAGTGGCGTAACTTGAGGCTCTCATATCCTGGAGGGGCATTCAATGAGTTCTGTGACAGCTACAACGCTACCAAGGTGGACTGTCACCAGATTTTATTCCTTATCGAATTTCTGCTGGGGGAGGGCAAGGTGGACAGGTCTCTAGAGGGGTGTGTGCCTCTGAGCACCCCAGTAACGCCACTGGTTGCAGAAAATCACTTCAAGCTGTGACGAAACACGACAAAAACTGTGCCAAGTTTACTTCGTTAGTCTGAGTAAAATAAGTCTGAGTACAATATTGTTAGGCCTATACATGTTGTTACAATTTTCTAAATAATTCAAGTTGACAATCTCGATTCTAAATGATTTATGTTCTTTGGCCCCGAAATATGTTGTGACTGGTCTACAAAAAACAGGTAGTACACCCTCGTATGACTACTCACACTATCGTGACATTATACTTCTATCTATGGTAAACCGCAGTGGGGCCACGTTCATTGCTGTTATGGTCTGTTTTGGTGTGGTACATATTCTAAGACATAAAGATTTTATAACAAAACAAGCGTGCCACTCGCTGAAGAAAACCTTAAATCGTAGCATCTGCAATTTCGTTGAAATATCTCGCTAACGTTTCAGCGAGAGATTCCAAAGAGGCAGTTGCTGCACTCAGGTATTCTTGGATGACGCATTTTTATTTGCGGCATTCTGAAACACACTTTGGTCGGAAAAATAGGAGTCACGTATTTTATGATGTCAAAATATTGTCATATCTCTTTGTGCGTTTAGACCTTTTCCTATCTGATCATCATCTTTGTCCTGAAAATAATTATGTTGAGCCTAAGTCATATTAATATGATACTGAAGAAAATACCAAAGTTTAACTCAAACACTAGTGGTGCAATGTATGGGGAACTTTTCTATACACATCTGTTTTACACAATATTAAAGTATTCTTAAAATGGTCTTAAAAAGAAATGATCCGAAATGAGCATGATGTATTTACAAATAATTTTGAAATGTTTGATTTTACAAAATAATATCTTCCATTATCCACTTTCTACTTATACTTTCTACTTTTTCCACCGTATGTTTTGATTTTTCTAATACTTTAAAAATACTAATTACCTAAAATGGGTCACTCGGAGATATTCCCATCAGAACGTGCACAAACTTTACTGTCCCATAATTAAACATTCCCTAATCTGATCTGAACCAAACTGTATGTTTTCAATGTAGACCCGATTTTATCACCTCTCAAAAATTGGACGGTAAAATTTGGCCTCCGTCTGGTAGATGGGGCATTAAGGAGACATTGAAATGTCTCCCTAATGACGGATGTAAGTCTTCGTCTAATAGTCTTATATCGAAGAATGTTTTGAAACACTCCAAACATCAACAGAAATCATGCCCTAGACTTCAGGAGGTGACACTAGCTCGAAAAAAATTGTCTTTCCTGGCCTTTGACAGAAAATGACAAGCCTTTGAGTGACAGCATGACTTTTTTCCCCAATAACACATTTTTTCTTTCGAAGTGACTTAACTTGTTTCGTTTAAGGTATGATCCAGATGAAAATTGCATCTTTTACTTTGAGGTATGAAATTATTTACACTTTAGTGCTTAGTCGAATCTTTACTGATAACAAACTCGTCAAGTTACACTTCGATACGACTATTTATATCATCATCTATCATATATTTGCAAGTTAAAAAACATCACCAGTGGCACAAATAGGAATTCCTTACTCTTGGGTGATGCTGATGAATGTCACAACTGTTTTGATAAGAAGGTAGGGTGGAGCTAGTGATGGAAAATTGGTTGTTGTCTTACACAAAATGTGTTGCAGGTACATCTGATAATAATGGATTGTGCCCACCGTATCTTGGCTGTACCAGTTTTACATTCATTCTATTGTACTTTCACAAATGTAAATATAATTTTCAGCTGGGTAATGCAAACTACCCTCAGAATTTGACTCGGGTATTTCAAGCTGTAATTATTTCTTTCATATCGGCAGGAGCAACTCGTAACCCTAGTTCAGTTCTTTTAGCATTATAGATGTTAAAATACCTACCTGTAACTTAAGGTTTGTTCATAACTGTAAACATGTAATTCAGAATAGTTAAATGTACTTTAGAAATGATTCACTCATGACATTCTTGGACTTTTGTAAAATGCTCTTTATCCTCCACACTCATCAGTGTTTACATGTAGCGAGCCGCCTCTTCGAATGCCGATGAGATACGAGCAGGTATAGTTTCTGAACAGGTGATTTATTTGTAGGTGGCTGGTTTAGTACAGCACGCCGCCATCAGTGTTACCTCTAGGCTGCAAATAGCAAAATGAACATCAAATCTGAGTTTAATAAGGGCTATTTCTTCTAATTTACTAAAAGGGTATTAATGTATTCGAAACAATGTATGTGTGGATAAGCACTGCTCTTGTCAGTGGAAAACGGTGAGTTCTGTTCTCCACACTGTGATACCGATTAGGGATTCAATGGTCCTTACTACCACGAGACAAGTTAAGGTCTAATTTAGATATTGACTTACTCTGTCTTCCCCGAAGTAAATGTGTGATGCCTCCAACCCTGAAGCTACGTACGGTCGGATGAATTCTTGCCTTATCGGGAGATCCGGTTTGCCAAACTTAATAAACAAAAACTCAGTTATGTCACTGCACAAAAAAAATCTTATGTTACGACATAGAATGCGTATGTAGAATGGCATGATCGAGTCCGTCTATGCGTCCCATTTATTGTAAAAAAGAGCAAGTAACTTTACATTTGACCATTTCATAGCGTCCACAGGCTCCACACTCATTGTGTCGGAAGCGCGTTTAGAGAACAGGACTAAAAGACTTTCATGTCCCAAATGGACCATGGTTCGAACGGTTTTGTTCATTTGATAAAGTCCTTGAAATTTCGAACGTTCGTGCAGGCAGCGAGCACACCCACGCACGTTCACACATAACGTGCGAAAACAAACGACAGCAACGTTGCTTGTGTCACCCATAAGGCTTCTTACACAGTGTAGGGAAGGGGTGGGTAGTCTCCCATTTTATTTCTGCTAAAATTGGCATTCTAGTGCAGCTACTGAAATGGGGGAATGGTTCAAGCGATTTTCCTCACACCTTTCAATACTCAACAATTAATGTTCAAACTGCTGCCTTCGAATTTGGTCTTTGCGGAATTTGGCTCAGAAATTGAGCTCTTGAATAGAGTTTCCATACAAATGGCCTAACGTTACAGATTTGAACATGCAATTAACGACTTACTCACCTGACGGAAGTATAGTGACTTGTTCAAGGAGATACGATTCGCTTGACCTTCATCAGAGGTGAAACCAGTTTCAATGTAACCCTCTTTGCGTGATAAAGTGTGGTCAAAGATACCATTGTGATACCTCGGCGCATAGGAGTAGCGTTGATCCTGATAATGGGAGATTCTCTTTTCATGCAAGCGTCTCATAAGAAGGCAGGAACACAGAACAAGTCCTGCTACTACCAGAAGGAGCACAGTGGAGCTGAGTATGATGAAAACTGTCTCAAGATTCGAAATGCCACCTGAAACAGCACAAAAAGTTATCGTTGTGGACAAATTATAGATTTAAACATGGCCCCTGAAAGCAAAACATGTAACAAAATATCAGTAGAATTTCGACAGTAGTTTGGAATACTGACACGGGCGTAAATCCCGGGGGTAGATATACATGTATATCCCCTACACTTTTTGACCAGGGGGATCAGCCCCCCCCCCCCCACTTTTTTGTTGTGAAAAAAAAATGAAGCGGATTGTGAAGACCTTTTCAAACTTCCCAACCACCAACATGTATTCAGTATCTCAAAAAGTGAGAATAGAAAAGCTATAATATGCCGTTCTGATATAATGTTCTGCAGGAATGCTATACACATTACAGATGTACATGTACATCTGTATGGTGAACATCCCCCATATGATGTCAGCACCCCCCCTCCACCCGCTTTTCAAATTCCAATGGTCTGCGTGTCAAGTCATTTACAAAGAATTTCCCATCCCCCTCCATCTCAATATCCGGCACAAATTTGCCCCACTGGACACTAATACAGACAACCAGTCTTAGGTGAAACTATGCCTATTTTTTTGAACGTTAACAGACAGTCACCAAAAATGCTGAATGTGACAACGTGTCATCTTTTAGCCATGATATAGAGGAAACGTGACATGCAGTTGAAATAAATGCTCCGATCTGGCTTTCATGGCAAGGCTCACTCATGGCTGCAAATCATTTCAGTCACACGAATTACCGGATGTGGTAGCAAATCAAGTTTTGCAAGTCCAAGTCAAGTCACAAGTCCAAAACTGACAGTTACAAATCAAGTCACGAGTCAAAAAAATAGCGACTCGAGTCCGACTGAGCCCAAGTCAAACAACTCGAGTCTGCAACTCAGTGCCTTACATAAAATTTCACAGAGAAAATGTTACGCCAAAGCCAAGTGGTGGTCCATAAACAAACTGTGCAACCTGACAAATAGACCATTATGGTTTAAGTCCGAGGACGGAGCGAGGACCACACCGACAACACCTGTTCATTCATATAAAAGCAAGTTGACGAAAACACTTTTCTGAATTGTGTGTTTCTAAATCTAAATGTGGCCTTACGTAATGCTGCCTGGTTCTTGTGTTGCAATAGGGATTCAGTGCTTTGCTACAAAGGCAAAGAAGCAATGTCTTAACAACGCAGTCATTTGCGAGATTTAACGAGTAAGGCTCCCTAAGTGTTACTACCTGCGGAGGCTGTTTCCAGAACATTTGGAGGAGTTGAAGGAGGTGTGATTGTTTCCGAAGGGGTGGTTGATGCTTGCTTTGTGGTTGTTTCTGGAGATGTAGTTGCTGCTGGAGGCATTGTAACTAAAGGTGTGGTCATTTTTGGAGGAATGGTTGTCACTGGAGGAACGGTTGTTTCTGGGATTTTGGTTGTTTCTGAAAGGGTGGTTGTTTCTGGATCCGGATCGATGGTTAGGGTGGTTGTTTCT